GTGTGTGTCCCCCCTACCCTCAGCTCTTTCCACTGAGAATGCCTGAAAGCAGTGATCCCGTGAATAGATACCTAGCACCCAGATCTTGAGCTCTCAGTACTACTTGCTACTGAAAAAAAAAAAACAGTGGCTGGCTAACGTGAGCCCTGCCTGATTGCGGGTGGGTGGGTGGAGGGAACACACCCTGAGAGGACAGGCTTTGTGTCATCAGGAGGCTTGTTTGGTGGTGAGGGGTTTGTGCAACCTGACCGTTTTAATAATGTGCATGCTGCTCCCTCCCAGACAAACATAGCTGGGTCCAACCCAAGCCGGAGATGGGTGTGACCATATCCGCCCAGTCAGGGTGTCAGCCCTGGGTGCTCCACCCAGACATGAACTTAAGAGCACTCATCTCAAACTTCTTTTCTGATCCGATGACTTTTTTTTGTATTGTCCTTTGCGTTATACCAACTGATATCTGCAGCTCCCAAATCTTGGCTTTGGGATGGTGAGTGACAACTTAGAGACATTTGCTGAAAGCTACCTTGCAAATAGAAAATACTATGGGCATTACATTTTTAAGGTTTATGACCACTTCTTAGGCCTATCAAAGTCTATGCTAACTTTTCAAATGTAGGGGTTGTCCTTGCTGCTTTCCTTGACCAGTCTGCGAGGTCGGCAGTCCTGGGGTGGCTAGGGTGTGGCCAGCAGACCCAGGATGCTTCCCCATGGTGTCTTGTGACTGCCTCTACTGATTAAGCTGGGGTTGAAGTCGGTTTTCCTCCTGACTTCTCTGTCACACTTACTATGGCTGGCACCCTCTGGGAGCACCCTCCACCTTCAGGTCTCCTCATGGGTTGTTCCTTCTTCCTTCTGCTCCTTTGATGCTCCTCAGGGCTGGTCCTTGGCCCTTTCCTTCCTCATCCCTCTGTTCTGACTCCAGTGCTGCCCTCCCGGGGGGCCTCCCTTTGTTTCTCCTGCTGGTCTCTTTAATGATGAGCAGTTTTAATCGTTTTTTTAAATTTATCATTAGTATTTTTTAATCAAAGGGTCCGTGTATGTAGTTTAACAAGTCAGTACTGTTGATTACTCTTCCAGTGTTGGTACAGATAATATAGAGCCAAATGATTTTGTGGGCCTTGGATTTTTCTTTTAAGAGAGGTTTTTTTTTTTTTTAATAAAAAAGGTAACTCCACCCCAAAACAGTGAGTTCACATGTAACCGCATTCTTCTTGCTTGCTCACACAAGGTGCCTGCAAAGTCTCGGCTACCTCCACTGGCCAGCAGTTTGTAGTGACCTGTAGTGACCGCGTTCCTGCTGCCCTGTTTTCAGCCCAGTGAGAGAAGGGGACGTGCATGGGGTGATGTCCCCGCTGTGTGGGGCACCGTGGATGTGAGGTCTTCTTGGAGATCAAGGTGGGGCAGGCAGACCGTTTTGTTTGCCTTCCTGTTTTGTCTTTGGTTGTTTTAGGTCCTTGGGGAGGGCAAAACCAGAAAACCCACTGGTGTCAAGTCGATTCTGACTCATAGCAACCCTGTAGGACAGAGTAGAACTGCCCCATAGTTTCCAAGGCTGTAAATCTTTACAGAAGCAGACTGCCACATCTTTCTCCCACAGAGTGACTGGTAGGTTCGAACTGCTTAGCAACTGCGCCACCAGGGCTCCCTTTGGGGAGGGCAGGGGTCCCTAATGGAGAATACCGACTAACAGATGGGTCCTGATAAATGTCCAAGCTGTGAAAGGAAGGAAGCAATTAAGCATCAATTGTTGCCAGATTACTTGCGGAACACTGCCAGCTGAGTCCTGAGGCGACATGTGAAATGATAAATATGGTTTCATAAAATAACATACGGCAGAAGGGTAATTATCGACCACAGGAGTTATGAGTAGGGAAGCTAATTATTCATCATTATTGAAGCAGCATGAACTAGGCAATGTGTGTGAGAAGGCAGGGGCCTGTGGGAGAGGAAGGCCCTCATGGAGACAGGACTCCCTGGGGGATGATGGAGCAGAGTGTTGGCTGCTGATGGCTCACGGCTGTGTCCCTCTAGGACTTGCCCTTGGCTGAAGGGAATGCCTAGGCCAAGGTGATGCATTCTTCTCTGGGACAGTGCCCTCAATGACTGGCTGCTGCGGAGGTGCAGAGCCTCAGCCCAGGTAATCCACTGCTCAGCCCAGGTGATCCACTGGCACATATCTTGGTACTTTCTGCCCTATTTTGATGGTAAATGGGCAAGAACGGCAGCCACAGCCCCAGAAGGACATGGCGATCACGGGCTCAGACCCTTCGGGGATGAGGATCTGGTCACCCCACCAGGAAAGCCACATAAACCAGCAGAGGTGCTAGTTCAGGGCCAGAAAGTCTAGATCGGGGAGAGGAGGGGGATAAATATCATTTATCAGTTGCTCCAAAGGAGAAAGATGCAGCAGTTTGCTTCTGTAAAGATTTACAGCCTTGGAATCCTATGGAGCAGTCGACTCTGTCCTATACGGCCGCTGTGAGTCAGAATTGACTCGACGGCAACAAGTTAATATAAAATTAAAAAATAAAAACCAAACCCATTTTTTAAATTACTTATTAACTCGTTGTCGTCAAGTCAATTCTGACTCATAGCGACCCTATAGGACACAGCAGAACTGCCCAATAGGAGCGCCTGGTGGATTCAAACTGCAGACCTTTTGGTTAGCAGCCGAACACTTAACCACTATGCCACCAGGGTTATCAGTACCAAGCTAACTGTCTCACTTTCCCAGGATGGCTTCCATGAGCCTCACTAGAATTATTTGAAATCTCGCAATTATAAATAAATCATGCCTTTGTTCTTCAAAAAAACCTGTTTCCCAATTATAAAATTAGTTATATGTTCTTGTAGATAGCTTAGAAAATGAGATTATCCATAATTCCACTACTCAGAAAGGATCACTTTGATATTTTGGTTTCCTGCCATAGTTGAGATCATTCTATATTCTACCTTTCACAACTGATGTTGTATCATAAGCATTTCCCCAAGTCATTAAAAACTCTTCCTAAAGATGGTCTTTGTAAAAGTGCAGCAGTATTCTCTGATGTCATGCCTTTAAGTCAGTGACAGCGTCTGTAGTGAACCAGGGCTTGTCCACCTACATGGAGTTATGAGGTCAGAGGGTAGAACACAGGTGTGGCTTTATTGGTCCCCACACGAGAACTTTGTTTTGAGTAGCCTGCAAGCCTTCTGGGGACAGAATCTAAGTTATCACATCCCCTTGAGTATCATTTTCCAAAATGTTCTGCTAGTACTCTGGTTCATCTTAGATGGTATACAGGTGAAGTTCTTTTTTTTTTTTTAAATTTCAAGACTTGTATAAATTATCCAGGACTTCCCAAATGCTATTGCTTTGGACAAGTCAGAAGCATTTTAAAAAATGAGTTGATGTAAAGAAAAACAGCAACCACAGGTGATGTACCAACTCACCAAGGTGGTGTGTGAATGACCCAAGTTTGGAAAACACTGTCCCAGCCTCACCCAGAGCGCGGTTACTGATTATTCATATGTGTAAGAGAAGAAGCCTTCTTCCAATATTTGGAAGTACTTCTGTTTTTGAATTTTTCATTTCTGGGCAAAAACAATATTTTTAAACACTCGCTGGTAAATAGGCAGGTGGAAAGACAAGAAAATGCAACATCTGTTATTTCATTTCGTTCTAACAACACTCTGATGTGGGCGTTAATCCTGGTTCATGGATTGGGGAACTGGGCCCCACTGCCAGAAAGTAGCCAGACCAGCACTGCACACTAGGTCCCTCTGCTTGCACATTTTGTGCCGTTTCTGGTGGACCTCACTGCTTCCTGCTTGCCCCATTGTACCCTCTTTCCATTGGGCACTGCATAAAACTCCATCCATTTGGAACTTGGCCTCTGCAAAGCGTTAATTTGGAAAAATGGAAATTGTAGATCCCGCAGTACCTAAATAATGCAAGGAAATCTTGCCCTTCACAGCCCAGCATATACAGCACATCCATCTCAAGCTCATAGCTCCTCTGGCTGGCTTCTTCAGTTTCAAGCCAGATACAGTCTTCACGTTCCATATGAAAATAGATGTAACCCACACTCACCATGGAGAATCTGGAAAACACAAATGTGCATAGAAAGGAAAAAAACCCACTGCCACAAAGCACCACTTAGAAGTAACCACAGTTCACATTTTGGTCAATATTATTTCCGATTTTTACTGTGTATATATATATACACAACATATTTTAAAGATGGGCTTTACAATATGTATGGTTTTATCACCTGGTTTCTCGTGAACATTTTCCCTTGTCTTCTGTAACAGTTAAAATACTTGCATATTAAGGAGAAAACATAAATAGCCAATCTTGTTGGGGAAATTTAGATAATTTTTTTCCATGAAGACTTCATTTTCCTTCCAATGGCTTGAGAAAAAAGGAGCATTGTCGTATGTAGCTTGTCTTACATCACTTTCTGCAGATGAAGGCAACTTGCCCTTCAGTTTAGCTTTTTAACTTGCTTCTCTACACCTACCTCATCAATCAAGTAATCTACGTTATTTATTCCACTCTTTCTCTCCCATTTACTTCCTCTTTTCTACTCTGTCTCCCTGGTACACACATATTCCCATTACTCTAGCAGTCCTGTCTCCTCTATTCATTAAAGATGTTTTCTTTCCTTTTCTTTTAAGATACTCTTTTTTTTTTTTTGGTTTTAACGAAGAGAAGTTTATTTCCTCCAGTCAAAGTAGGCTAAAAGTCCAAATTCAGGGCGTCAGCTCCAGGAGAAGGCTTTTTCCTCTTTGTCGGCCTTCTTCTCTTCAGTGTTCCCCTGGACTAGGAGCTTCTCTGCGCGGGGACCCTGGTCCAAAGGACACGCTTTTCTCCCAGCACTGCTTTCTTGATGGTATGAGGTCCCCCTCTTTTAAGATACTCTTTATTGATTTTGACCAACTCTATTAAATATATTATCCTCAGTTCCATACTATATTAGCCTTCAATAATCTGAATACAGAATTCATACGCTTAAAGGAAAACATTGATATGAACCCCTTTGTAGAGCTAGATGTATCAAGAAACATAGGACTTGGGCACAGAGTAGATATGGTCGACTTTTTTTAAAGAGTAGGTTGTTGGGGAGGGAGGGTGAGGCAGAGGAAAAAAGTAGTGGGCACAGTAAGGAAGTGTTAGGGACCATTATCAAAATGTATTCATTATTTCAAGGCAACTAACAAATGATCATCTTTCAGTGACAACATTAGAGTGGCAGCCCTTACTGACCATGAAATTTCCATGACATTTAAACTTGTAGTTCCAGAAAACACAAAAGTCAATTAATAGAACAGTGTAGAAAGGCAGAGGCCAGCTAGCATAAAAGTGGTGCATACAGACGGTGTTAATTCTGGAGTCCTGGAAGCTTCTAGGTACTCATCCATCACACGGCCATCTGGAAGGTGGGGACACTCGGTCATTATCTTGCTGCCCAAACAAGTGGCATATCTACACGAGCCAAAAATTGGTTGAGGCCCAACATTTGATGAGTACAGTATGCTTATGGGATCAACAGTACCAATGACATGAAATTCAGACTTCCCTGTAAAAAGACTGTCAACCAAAGTTGCCTTGGCCTGCTGTAACTAGCTCCTCCCTGAATGTTCACTTTCACACCTTATATCCTACCCGACCAATCCACCCACCAGGGTCATGGAAGAAAGGCCTGGTGATCTGCTTCTATACAGACTAGAGCCAAGAAAACCCTGTGGAACAGTTCTACTCTGTAAGCACATGGGGCTACCATGTGTTGGAATCAACTTGATGGCAACTGGGTTGGGTTAACCTACCATGGTTGGTGATGCCTTCAGTTGCAGGAGTTGGACAGGACTTGGTAGGCCCTGTTGATAAGGTGACAGCATACTCTGGGCCCCGAGTTCCAGGAAAAAAAAACACGCCACCCACGCATCCAATCATTTAACCCACACTTATCAAACGCATAACTTGGGTCTGACACTGAGAATGCAGATGGAAGACACATCTTGGTCTGGGTGGAGAGACCTGTCATGTGCTCAGTGAAGTGTTTGCTTTCGTTTATTTTCTGGGCTTGAACATTTTCAATTTTTAACATCCCTAAGAGTCAGAACTATAAAAGGCTTTGGGTGGCCCTAGAAATCTGGCTCCGTTTGGGATGGAAGAGCATCCACTCCTCTTGGTCCCTGCCCTTGTTTTCTTTATTTTCCTCAAACCAGTAAGGTCAAAAGATTCTGAGATCAATCACCAAGAGGGTCATGCAGGGACTTTAGAGCTCATGAAAAAGTTTCTAAAGGACAAGAGTGGGGTCAAGCCTCTGGTGGGAATTTAAGGGCATTAACTGGTGTTCTGTGCCCCTGACACTGTTGTTGGGGTGGATACTAATTTAGTGTTTGGGTACCCCTGCCTAAAGAAAAGGAACCCCAGAGAGCACTTCTTGGAGTTTTAAGACATAAAATCTTTTCTTGTTTATTTTCTTCAGTAGAAGCTCACAGTTGATAACAAAAGTCAAACCAGTTGCCATCAAGTGGATTCCGACTCGTGATGACCTCATGTGTTTCAGAATAGAACTGTGCTCCATAGTGTTTTCAATGGCTGTGACCTTTCAGAAGTAGATCACCAGGACTTTCTTCCAAGGCACCTCTAGGTGGATTCAAACCGACAACCTTTTTGTTAGCAGGCGTCACCCAGAGACTCCTCATAGACTATAAAAGGATGTCAAATAGACTTGGAATAACTCTCCACCTGAAAGGCAGCACAACTAGCTACATTTCTGAGGGAGTAAATATCAAGGATGTCAGTGTGACTATCCCATCTGGAGTCTTCAATGCTTTCACAAGTAGAACTGTGGTGTCTTCTGCTGAGAGGCTCTACACAACCATGAGGTAGAAGGAGAGATCTTGTTAACTAAGCTCTCACAGGCAACTAACTAACCCCAGAGGACAAAAGAAAGGAACATCCACTTACCACAGCCAGGCAGAAATGTCTGAGGAAAGCAGCGAAGCCAGCCGTGCCAGCATTTACACATGGAACACTTCTTGGGCAGCCAGGTATCATGGGGCACAGATCCACAGTTCCTGAGAATGGACAGATGAGGTTCCTTCTCTCTCTTCTCTAGCACCTAGTCCCTCCTCTCCTTCCAGTTCTACCCATTGAATGGCTTACTCTTTGCGAACATCGTGCTCACAGTTCCGTCCATAGAAGTAGGGAGGGCAGGCGCAAAAGGACCCCAGCATACAGGTTCCCCCATTCAGACAGCAGGTCTTGTTTAGCTGTTTACCTGAAAGGAGACAGGAAGTGGGTTCAAAGCTGCAGGGATGGAAAAGCCGAAGGCATTCCTGTGAATAAAGGGTCACAACGAGCTTAAGAGCATAATCTCCCCAAAGTGTTTGTAGATGCCTCAAAATTGTAAACCTCACAGAATAAGACTCTTCTAGAGTTTTCCTTTTGCTACCTATACGTTTGGAGCAGAGAAATCTTTTTCATGTACAGGCCAGTGGTGGTTCTGGAGCCCCCAGTGCACCAGTGGAATCAGATGAGGGAAACCGTGTTCCAGACGGGTGAACTACATAATGCCTGTCCCACCTCCAGAACCAAAACCAGTCCAACTGCCCGCCCTGCTCACCAGAATGAGGTACCCACTCTCTCAGGTGAAAAAGAGTCAAAAAGGTACTCAGGAGTCAAATGAAGGAGGGAACAGAGATACCACACTGAAGAACTAAGGCGGTAGGTCTTACTGTCTTGGATGCCCATGAACGACACAAACTGGAAAGGCTGCTGACGACCTGCAGGCTCCTCCCGGGACCGAACGTCGGCATCTCCCTGTAGGGGGCGTGCAAGTTCATGCTGGCCCAACCCTTAAAGACAAAAATCAACTCAGGGAGTCTGTGTTTCGGGCCACAGGAACATTTAGTGATCAAAAGAACAAAATGTCTCTCACCAGCAACTAATCCCAGTTCAAACGCTTTGGAAAAGGCCATGATGAAAATCACACTAGGAGAAGGAAATCAGACATCCCTTAGCAAAACAAAGCAAATAAAACTCTCTGAGTTAACACCAGGGTCCTCTCTATCACCAGGACACAACCACAGACCACAGAGACTAGAGAGTACCACCTCTTTCTGTTTCCTTTTGCATCTTTTTAAAAATGACTGACTAATTCACGCAACAGCATCAAGAAAAATGTTGAAAGTAAGTCACCTAATTGCCAAGGCTTTTCAATACGTATTAATACTTTTTGGCTCTGTCTTCATATGCACGTAATTTTAAATAGGTATAAATCTGTTACCTTCTGTTTCACGTAAAATTTATTTTTTTTCTCCTCAACATAGTTTTCATTTAAGAGTTTAAAAATGGCTGCATGATATTATATGTTACTGCTGATCACATGTTACAAATGATTTCATTTAAATCAGTCATTTAAAAAGTTTTCAGCTTAAAACTTTCTTTTGCTATTATTATACTTAATGGTGTTGCCTATACCTTTAACCTTTCAGAAACAGGTTTTTGATTGGGTGGTAATATTGGCCTTTTCATACCCAAGAGTAGGAAATGGCTAACCACTTCAAAGTCAGAGCCATTAACGTGACTAAAGTGTTAAATGCCAACAGCAAAATTAGATGTAACTGTGTGAAATTCCAGGTCTTTCAGGAAAAATAGCAGCGCTGTTAAGGTTTAGCAAGATGAAATCAAACAACAGAGAGCCAGAGAATATTATTTCCCAAACTGGGAAGCTCTAGGAATCAAAAGTTCACGTTCAAGATTGGTTCATACCTGGAAGAGAAGCACTCCATCTTCCTGCGGTCCATAGTTCTTAGCCTTAACAATTGAGGGAGAAATATGTTAGCGTAGCTTTTTAATTGACACAGTCATTGCCAAAATACCCAAAGGAAGACATTCATTTCCTGAAGTGAAAATGGGAACGTAAAAAGAAAAAAATAACCCAGATGAGAAATATGGTTTCCACAGAAGGATCAGGATGTCCAAGGAACGCGAGCGCTCATCAGTACAGTTCTCCAAAGAATGCTTTGACCTTGAGCGGGGACTCGGCCTTTCAGGGGAACAAACAATAAACCCCCGGGGTGGTGGGGAAGTCTCTCAGGTGGGCGGGGGTGGGGTAGGCGGGAGACCGACGCCCATTACAATACCAGACCTTTCAGACCCGAGGTGAGAGGCGTCTAGGGGCTGAAACAATAAAGTGTAATAGAAAAGGCGGAGTCTTGTAAAACTGGCTAACTAGCCCTAGTGTCTCCATCGCTAGTTGAGGGTTAAAACTGTCAGACTCACTTTTGAAAAAAGAAAAATCCGTTACTCGATCAAGTTGATTGCAGGCTGGAGAAATGGTGAAAGTAATGACTCAGGAAAACCGAAACACCAGGTATGGGTCTCTCAAGGCGTTTAATGTTTTATTCCCTGGGTTCAAGTCTTGAAATTTGCTCTCATTGTTTTTTTTCAAGAAAGGTGTGTTGAGCCCCTTGTTCCGCCCTGGGGATACTGACTTGGCCAGGACAGGTGTGCCCTCCGCCCGCGGAGAGTGAGGTCCGTGGGGAGAAAGATTAGGAAGCATGCAGTTGCAATGCAGCGTGTGGGACGCTCGCTCGATTGGCTCAGTGACAGGAGGGGTCCCTCGGGGGCTCCAGACCTGGTGTGAGTGTAAATTCCAGGCAGGAAGGAAGGGGGAGGCGGCGCCAGGTGCGCCGGCGGGGAGGTGCGAGTGTGCGGAAGGTGGGGGGAGGCCGACTGTGAGCTCTAGCCAGGCCTGCGCCTGAAAAAGTTCTAGAAACACGGCAGATCTGCTTGGGAGGCCATTTCGGCCTTGCCAGTGATTTTATGTCAAGTCTCCCAGCTTCCGGAGTGCGACCTCTCGACTCCCCTCACCTCCCTCCCCCTCGGGGAATTAACCCTAGAGTCAAAACTGTCATGTGTTCCCCAAAAGTGTTTATGTGGTGGTTCTGCCAAGCTCCACACGCCCCAGTTGGAGAGCCCAAGTCCTCTCACCTAATATCTCAGGCCTCTGGGCTTTTTAATTTCTCGCTAAATGCGTCCAAAGTCATGAGTAGCTTTTCTATCTCCTTTTATTCTAATTTCTAACGTAAAAGCCTGGAGTTTACCTCATACTGCCAGGCACACAAATTCGAATATTTTATGCAGCTCTGTTTCCATTGGATTTACACCGTGGCAGATCGAATGGGCAGCTTCTGAGGCCATTTCAGCTTCAGCGTCTACCCGTGTAAATATGAGGGGACCACAGGTGCCTAAAAGAGCCGTCATTTGCTTCTACACCTTCATCTTGGGAGAATTAAACTTAAAATTTTTGGTAGGGGGAATAGAGCCCCATCTGAGCAATTGGGGGGTGCAGCCCATTTGCCTGTGACTAGCAACCTTCCCCACCGAACAGCTGCCGCCTTGTTTAATTCCTGCTGCCTTCAACGGCTCCTTGTGTGGCCTTTCAACTTCTTAAACGCTTCAAGTCGCATGCTGAGATTCTTAGAGGACTGGGGAACTTGGCCGGAAGATTTAGGAAGCCGGAAGTGGGGGAGGGCTCCAGATAGCTGGAGGTTAACCAGGAGCCTGGAGCTGCAAGGAGGCTTAAAGACAATACTCTGTATAGGACTTTATATGGCACATTCTGCATCACAATCCTCAACAATCCAACGTGCTCAGTAGACAAATTGAGTGACTTGATTAGTTCCATTTTATGGACAAAACTACTAATCCCATTTGGGTGTTTAAATGTCTTTTCCAAGGGACTGGGCAGGTCAGTGGCAGAAATGGCAACAGAACACAACCCCTGCATTACCACTTCCTTATCTAAAGGGGCTGCTGTGGAACTTTTAGGGCTTCCACTAGGACCCCTAGAAATCGCCTCCCCATTTTCAGCGGGAGGAACGGAAGCCCTGAGTTTGGCTATGTTGGCATCGGTGGATCAGCGTTTCTGTCATACAAAATTTCTTCTCCTACAAGGACCAGAACTTGTTGAAATATCTCCATTTCCCAAAGGTACAGAGGACAGAGCAAAGTCAAGTGGGCCCAGGGTAGATGAAGCCTGGACAAGGTTTTGGGAGAGGTAAGGGAGAAGAGATATGATGCTTAAGGTTGCCAGATATTAGCTACTGGGCTGGGGACGCAAGCACTGTTCACTTAACTACGTTGCCTGTCGAGGGCTGGACTCTGGGGACACAGTGGTGAGAAGTGACACCACAGTATAGTAGGGAAGAAAGGAGATTAATCAAGGATTGTAATTACGGTAACTGCAAAAAGTTGCTGCTACCGCTGGGTGGGAGAATTGAACCAAGACTGTAGGATACCTCTGCTCGGTCACTGCTGAGAACTGGTAGCGGCTGGCCCAGCCTTTGCTGCCCCAGCCTCTGTTGGCAGTGAGTCCTGTCTGTCAGAGACCCACAGGGAGCAAGGCGTGGGGGTGGGAAGCGCTGTGGAAATGGGGAGTGCCCTCCTCATAAAGGCCACTGATAACCAAAAGTGGATAAACAAATGCTCTCCAGACATTCCAATACTGCTCTCTGAACTGTTGTCTATTGAAAACTGGGGCAAGAGAGACAGAATTGTGTGTTTGACAATCACACAAATAAACATTTGACTTAAAACCATCCAACCAGCAAGAATAGTGGAACCAAAACCATTGTAATCAAATAGACCTCCAAAACCAGTACTGCTGGGTCGATTCCAACTCTTAGCGACCCTATAGAGTTTCCAAGGCTGTAAATCTTTACGGAAGCAGATTGCAGTATCTTTCTCCCACGGAGCATTGGGCAGGTTTGAACTGCCAAACTTTTGGTTAGCAGCCGTGCACTATAACCACTGCACCACCAGGGCTCTGTCTAAAATTCAAGGAAGAAATTAAATTTGGACAGTGGGATGGTATTCAGCTTTAAACAGCCAATTCAACCTTGTTTTAATGGTCGAGAATACATAGAATTACATCTCAACTAAAAAGTTAATCAAAAGAGTAGCCATTTCTACAGTGCAATGACAGGGTTTTTCAGATAAAGCCTACTTTTATCGCAGGACTCCTCAAGACATCTTTCCTCTGTCATTGTTACTGGAACATTCAGGCAGGTCAGAAGAAGGGAGAGTGTGGACGAGGGGGCTGGGGAATGCTGAATATATATGTACCCTCAGACTGAGGGCTAGTGGGGCCTCTAATCTCATCAGGCTCAGCACCCAACAGCCTCTGATTAACCTGAGTAACACCCTTGCTGAAGTCTGTTGTCCTCCCAAGTGTGCCCTGGCCCATTCATTAACAAGATAACAGCTTTCTGTTTTCACTGGTGAACTTAACAAACAGGTCTCTGTGTGAGGTTTAAGAGAGTAGATTCCTTCTTTCAGAAATCTGCAGTCTCAGTGGGGGAGATGTGCACAAATGAGTCATTTCAGGGCTATATTGTTACAGAAACGGTGTAAGAGGGACTGAGAAGGGCTTGAGAGGACACTTGAGGAAGGGCGGCCCCCCACCCCATGTTCAGGCCTTTTCTCCTACACCGTCTTGCTTAGGTGCCAGCTCCAAGGAAGACGAGGATGACATAAATAGGGGTGGGGGTATGGGGAGTGGTCACCTTCTCTGTTTGTACAAACAGGAGGTATTTGACTGGCAGCCCTGGTGGCACAGTGGTTAAATGCTCAACTGCTAACCAAAAGGTCAGTGGTTCGAACCTACCAGCTGCTCCATAGGAGAAAGATGTGGCAGTCTGCTCTATAAAGATTTATAGCCTTGTTCTGTAGAGTCGCCATGAGTTGGAATTGACTCAACGGCAACTGGTTTTTTACAGGTTACAAACAGCTTCAGTTTCAAATTGTGTCTCTTCCCCTCTCCTGCTGTGTGACCTTCAACAGGTCACCTAACTTCTCTTGGCCTCTGTTTCCAACTTGTAAAATGGGATATTTCTTACCTTTAAAGGCTCATTGGGAAGATTAAGGAAGACAATACTTGCAGCTTCTAGGCCCATAGTGTGCTAAAGGAGAGATGCATATTACCTACAATATAGAAGAAATATTTTGTTCTTGAACTATGTCTTCAACAAATGTATACTCAACACCTACCATGTACCAAGGCAGTATGATTGGAGCTAGAGATTAAATAAATCAGCCCGCCAAAAGCTCACAATCTAGAGGAAGAAAAGGACAAACTTAATTACACTCCTAGGTATTTTCCCAAGAGAAATAAACATACATCTACGCAAAGATTTGTTCAAGAATGTTCATAGCAACTTTATTCTTAATAGCTCCAAACTGGAAACAGCCCAGGTATCCATCAACAGTTGAATGAATAAACAAAAATCCATCCCGTGGAGTGCTAATCAGCAATAAAAAGGAATGAAGGACTGATTTACAACGTGTCTGAATTTCAAAAACCTGCTGAGTAGTACAACCGAGAGGAGCCTTGGTGGTGCAGTGGTTAAAGCACTCAGCTGCTAACTGAAAGGTCAGGGGTTCAGAATCCACCAGCTGCTCGGGGGGAGAAAGATGTGGCAGTCGGCTTCTGTAAAGATTTACAGCCTTGGAAACCCTATGGGGGCAGTTCTACTCTGTCCTATAGGGTCGCTATGAGTCGGAATAGACTCGCCGGCAACGGGTTAGTGGATTCTCTAACTCACGTGGTTTCTTGTGACCCTCATTGTGTGAAAGACACCTTCAGTTACCATTTGTGTGTGTGTGTGTGTGTGTGTGGCTGTATCATATTTCTTCTTCTGTAGATATGCCATAATTATTTTGTCAAGGAAGGGACACTTGGAGTATCTCTGCATTTGGCGTGAACTCCCTTGCACATATTATCTGGTGAACTCTTGAGAGT